ACTGAAAAGGTACCATCAGTGTGGAAAGGTATACTTAGCACAAAGAGTAAGTAAATTCATGTTTGGTAGATTATTTCTTTGTGGTCACAATGCTTCTTGGTAATAAATCTTATACCAGGCATCTGATTGGCAGCATTACCAGAAATCCAAAACAAGTGTCAATAGCAAAATAAGTTGTTCGGCAGAGAAGATTTTACATTTTTTTATGTGTGCAACCCACATACTCAGCTCTATTGCTCTTCCCACAAATGAATGTTTCTTTCATTCAAAAACGAAATTAACAGGCTTCAAATTACGTATATACCATATGACAAGAAGCACTGTTACAACAAAGAAATAATCTACCAAACATGAAGTTACTTTTTGTGCTAAGTTCATAWATATGTTTTAGAACATCATCTTCTCCTTACCAGACAAATTATCAGGAAAGGTCTATTCGGCAAGACAAAGCCAAACTGCATATACAGCTTCGTAGTAGAAGAGTGCAGGTGCTGAACCRCTTGCTGCCCAGACCTCTCACCATTTAAAAATATTTGACGAACCATAAAATTAATCCTGCAAAGACCCATATTGCAACTAGAACACATGTAAAACTTAAGGCCCAGGGGCCAAATGTGGTCTGCCACAGTGTTTAATGTGACCCACAAGAGCTTTAAAAGTGTATTAATGTCTTAAAATAAGCGTATGTTGCTTTAAAGCCAGCATTGACTAAAAACTACATCTCCTATAATGCATGTTGATTATTTTTATATACAAAATGATGACATCACACTACTGGATGGAGGTTCACAGGGTYCAAAAGGAGTTGTCAATCTCCTTTTAGCTGCATTTTTGCTACTTTCGTTGCAGCCAAGTTGTACTGGGAAGTGGGAATTTCCCCACTTACAGGTTGTAAGTTTAAACCGGAAGACCACTCCTTTGGGTGATTCCTGGCAGAAAGTGGGAGATTTTAGAATTCAAGATGACAGCTACTTTTAACAACTTAACAGTGAGTAAAACTCTCTTACTTTTATTTTTATTAGTGTTTCTGTATTATTCATTTCACATTTAGTCAGTCTTACACGTACTTTTTGGAGGATGTGTTAAAACTCTGTCTATGCACAAAATACCACATAGAGCTCCGTTGTTGTTTGTTGGTGGTGCTCAGCTGTAGCAATGAGTCGAGGAACATGATGTTTCATGTTTTTAGTCAAAGTTGATTACAACTGGCCCTTTGAGGGCCACTGTGATGCTAACGTGGCCCTCAGTAGAAATGAGTTTGACATACAAACAGTACAAACATGGATGTGTTTCAAGAACCTTTTTTTAAGGTCTGTCACTGCCATCCAAGTAAAAATTTCCTATTTCTTATAAGTTTAAACATTTGAAATGCTTACTGTGTTTTACTGTGATTAATATATGGGTTCATACGCTTTGCAAAACATTGCATTCTGTTTTATTAACATTCTAACTTTTTGGGAATTAGTTTTTTATGTTACAAGAGGCCCTTGTGACAGGTCATACAGGTGGACTGGAACAAAGGTGAAATTACAGAGCAGAGTTGTGAATAGCACTAATTTACAACTTTGAGTAGTTTTTTTTTTTTTTGTACTTAAAATCTGACCTGACCCCTAAGCTAAATGTACTTATCGGCTTGTATGAAACCCCAGTGAAAAAAGAATCAATGGCTTAATTAGCCTCATGGTGTACATTAAGTGTTATTCTAAATGTTGCACAAAAGATCTAATCTGAAAATCTGACACTGTGGCTTGTTGTTGAACTAATGTCTCTAATATTCCAAATAATACCACAAATCAGTGAACGGTGTCTTGCAGTGCTTTAGAAAAGAACTCGGCAGTAATCAGAAGTTCTGTGTTTCTGTCTAGCATGAGCACAACGCATCTTCAGTTTGTTTTTAAATAGAAACAAGCAGAAACATATACGGCTTTCCACTCGGCTGGAAGAAGCAGTCATAGCAGCGAGCCTTTCTTTCATTGTTCTTCCTGTCAGGGGTTCAGCTTTACTGTGGGTCAGCCCCCTCTCCAGCTACAGAGGAAAGGAACCACACTGATCTGAGATGGAGTACCCCCAACCAAACCTTACAACATCGACCCACGCCACCTTCCTGGGCTTCTAATGGAAGTCCCGGGCATCCAGACGCTTCCCCAGCTCCGATACTGGCGTCAAGTAGCGCTCCACTCATCACTGGAAGCAGCAGGCCTCCCAGCTCTCCTTTTCTCTCCTCGGGGTGGGGCCCTTTCGGAGCATCGCAGGCAGATGTGTCCAGATGAGCACGTTCTAATTTGCAGACCCAGGTTAATGCTCTGCCAGAAGTCCCGGGGATCAATAGCTTTATTTCCCTAAAATACTGGCACGGCGAGGAGCGGTTAACGGGGTGCTTTTAATACCGCCACAGTTCCAGCGATGACTGGGCTGTATTGATTGTGCCCATGTGGAACTACGTGCACCTTCTGGGGAAGGATCTATTTGTGTCACCCTGGGCTGGGATGGGGCCTCCAACTGGAGGAGTAGAGAGCTCAGCCAATGGAGGATGCCAAAAACATCAAAACAGCCATGTTTACAGATTACCCAAAGGGAAAGCAAATTACAGCAATTATGCAGGCTGTGGGAATACTGATATCAGCATACCTGCTATTTTACCCAGAGACTACTTTTTTGAGCCTAGAACACAGACAAAACAGTGCACTCAATTTGATTTGATGGCTAAACCGTCGACAAACGATGGGGTTTAAACGAAGCACCTCGCATCAAATGTGTGCAAAAACAATGGCTTTCTGGGGGATCAATCTGTTCGTGTTATTCGAGTGCAAAAAGTAYATTTCACTTGTTGGTTTGAAAGCAACATAGCGTTTTGTTCAAACGATACAAATAATCCTGCAGATTTATCTCGCATGAAACAAATGCAGGCGTTGCAGCATTTATCCGGCACAGACAACATGCATACAGAGAAGCCTTATCCAAAATCAAGAACCTTTGTTTGCAGCTGTCGTGACATATTCATGACTTGGGCCATAATAGTCAGATTCCTGATATATCCCCCAGGGAGTGCAGAGAGAATGGTGTCACATCCAATTACTGCAGCACACTGTAGAGGTAAATCAAAACTCGTGCCGTGAACTGTGGAATCCAAGGTGCAAGCACACACACCCGCAGTCTGAGCAAAGCAAGACTTACACTTATATGAAAATTAATATATCGGAAAACACATTCTCCCGGTAACTTGGAGGTCATATATGGATTACCCAGAGAAATGGAAAAGGCTGGAGGCTGCTGAACGCCTTCTCCTCAAAACATTAATTGACATCCGAGAAGATCTAGGAGGAGAGAGGCCGACAGAGCTTACTTGAGAATTTACAATTATAGATTTGTTTGTCCGTGTGCGGAGATTAAAATTGCAGATGAGGATGCAGATGTGCCCCTTATTGGTTGAAGCCCAATCGGGTCACAGTGTTCGCCCAAGACCTTCTGCTGAGCATCAATAAGATGATTTTTATCATTTTTTTGTAAAGCAAAACGAATGCCTTTGTCTTATCCTCCACACTGGTCCTTGGGAGGCATGGTGGGTCCCCCCCCCCCCCTCCTTTCTTTTTTTTTGGTTTGAGGGCATCTCGGCAGTGCACAGCCCCGTTTCACCCTGGAGCGGTGCAAAGCTCCTGCCCAATAAAACAGGCTGCATCCCCAGGGCCCCTCCCTCAAGCCTCCAGTCAGCGCTTGTTTTTGCACCATTTATTTAGTGTGACACATCTCCAATTAAACTGTGGAGGCTGCTGCATTCCCCCCCATAACTACCTCTTATACCTCCCCATAGACTTTCTGTCACATGGAGAGTGTGAGTATGAAAGAGTGAAAAGGAGAGTTAAGCTGGAGAGAGAAAGAGATCACATCTTGCCTGCCAGCTATGATCACAATGTCATTTTCTCCTCAGCGGTTAGGAGCCTCCTCTGAAAGGTATCCGGAATTATAATTATCAAAATATTGAACAAGATAATCATCCTCTTTAATGATGCTGCCAACCTTACACACAAAAAGTGTCTGCTTAAACGCTCGCCTTGTTTTCTGGAAATSTGGCCACTTGTTTTGGGTACAATGTTATAAGATTTAGTCGTTTTTGACAAATATTTCCAAAACATTTTAGGCCATGTGTCAGTCATTATATTATTWTTTTTTCTTTGGAGGTAAGAGTCTCCTTGTCACCTCTTCATCCTCCCACGTTGGCCTCAGACAGTCACAGGAGGAGTGACTTTGTCCGACCCCAATATCGTCTGCTGGAGCACAGCTGAGGGCAGCAGCTGCCAGGGAGGACTGGTGGGGGAGCGCCCAAAACACCAGCTCTGCCAAGTGCAGGGGCCGGTGGGGAGCCCCAGTGGCAGCTGGGAAGGGTGGGGCAGCCAGCTGTGGAGCAGCGGGGTGGTGTGTGGGGTGGGGCCACTAAAATCGTAGCAGGGATACACAAATGCGCGCTTCCGAWATCTAAAAACATCCAGACATGGTGAAAAAGTTCACACTCACTTTTTTTTTTTAATTTTCTACCCCACTCTCCCCCTCCCCTCCCTGCAGCACTTCTATTTACCATCTGCACAGAGTYGGTGGCCCTCTTAACACCAAACACCACTCTCCCATCACGTGCTCCGGCCACACATCTGGTGTGCCATCTGTATCCCACCCCCTCCGCCCAAAGTGACAGGTAGTCCCTCTCCCTCTCTGGAGGGAGCCGAGAAAGGAAAGGAGGGACACGGAAGGTAATTTTGGGTGTAAATGTGCTCTGGCCCTCTCTGGATGCATCTGGACGGAGCAGGCACGCTGCTGAGCAGGGCAGGGTCATTATCAGTTGGAAACGCACTGCCAGCTAGCAGATGAAGACAAAACAATTAGATCATACTGTCACATCCTGACAGCACCACTCGGGCACATCTTGTTTATGATTTCACCAGGAAGAGCTCCATTTCGCACTTTCCCGAAGAAGTCATTCAACAAGGCAAATGATATAAATTACACACAAGTATACTAAAGATTCTTCCGATTTATTATAATGTACAGTTTACATTGCCAAGACACAAATGTGACCTCCACTTGGATGTGTTGCGGAAAGGAAAAGAAAAAAACAAAATATTAAAACAGCCATATAAACAATAGAGGACACTGAATTCCTCGTCTTTATGCTGCTGTACATGTGAGATCAATAAAATATGCACCATGATACAGATATCAAGCCAGTGATATAAAACTGCACAACCAATCTTCACTGTGAAATCATGGAATCCATTTTCAAAACAATATTTTCACATCTTATGTTACATATTTGACAGTAACAATATTTACTTTGCACACACAATACTACTTGAATGACATCAACTTAGACGTTTATTCGAAAAGGAGACGAGATTCCAGCATTGTTAAAGTAACCATCTAACACTGCTGATTTAAAAACAGAAAAAAAAAAACGTGTAAAAAAATATAACATGTTAGATCGTTCTCATTCACCACTTTGCAGTCAATGGACAGGTCGGCGGTGCTTCTGGAAGGGGGAAAAAAGGCTCAAGAGGACATTTATTCACAATCTGCAGTGGCATCTGCTACATTATTACCTCACTGAGCAGAACTGTTAAATGAAGGCCTTATTTTGTCAGGAGCTGTAACATAAAAAGAAAAAAAAATGAACTGCATATTTTATGGGTTTTCATGCGCTTTCAAGCACCTGATATGCTGCTCAAATTTATTTTCTTTAAAGAAAAAAAGTGTATACAGATAATTTCCTCCTTTTTTTCATAAAATCTATGCCACTGACATAAGAGATCTAAATTAATAGGCATTCATTTTAATAAAAAAAATAACTGGATGGGATTCATTGTCATTTAAGAGCATTAAAAACAACAAAAAATAGACATTCACTTTTTGAAATAAACAACACAGCTTTTAGTACTAGTTTTCAATGTCTTATACAAAGTTAGCTCGATCTAAAAAGCACAAAATATATATTTTACATCACATACATCAAGACATGTACCATGGTCTAGCTGGAAGTTCACCCGGCGCATTTGCATCGTTTCATTTTTAAAGTCCTCACACAAGTCCCTACTGCTGGCATTATTGCTTCTCGTGATCGGGGAGCTGAAGAATACAGGAATAACGCGCCGCTGTCGATTAAAACTTTACATTTGAGTCAGGTGGAATCCAAAATTTTTGTCAGCCCGTTCCACAATCTGCAATGCTAAAAGGATAAGGCAGTTCCATTTTTTAAGGCATTGCTGCTTTGAGACATACTGGAGCAAAATAAAGTCGTGGACTTCTTGTTGTTTTTCATGTCAATGTGCATGATAAAAGGGGATACATTTTATAGGCAAGGATAAAAAGCCCCCCAAAAGTGGAAAATGTATCATGTTTTTTTTTTCTTGTGTGTTGGGAGTCCAAGAGAATCTGAGCTGAAACCATCGTTAAGGTCTGTTTAGCAGATGACCAGAGGTTAAAGCACAGAGAGATCAGAGCAGAGCTGTGAAGGTAGCTGTGACCATTTCTCATTGCTGGTAATTTCCATACTGGCCCTGTAGAGTGAGACGTGACAGACAAATGTTACTGACCTTCTCACAAACACAAAAGTAAAAGCTTGTGTTCACAAATCTCAACACGGTGCGAAAAAATTATAATTATAAGAAAAATTTCTTCTGGGTATTACAATACAATACAATACAGCAAACTATGATTGATGCCCGCATTGGCTGGTGTTGACCAGCAGGTGGCAGCATGGCCTCATAATTTCTAAGCTCTACATTAAAGTAATCAGGTTTCAACAGCAGCACAGCTGAGGAAAATATTTCTCATTAAGTAGTGGACACAACTAACAGAGTTATATTCAGTGCATAAACAGTTCTACTGATCGCATTCCTAAACAGGGGTCGAAATATGCGTTTGCCATTAATGAAAAATGTAATGACAAATTTGGAAACAAAGATTTGACAGTTTGATTAATGTAACATACATTTTAATATTAGGGGTGTAACAGTACACACTATTTATGGTTTGATCTGAACTTCTGTTTTACATTTACAGTTTGGTACATTAAAAAATAAAAGTAAAATGGGACAAACAAAGTTCACTAGAGGTTAAACTGAAGAAGAAAAAATTATTGTGAGCAGCAAAATTAAAGTGACTGGATAGACTGAATAAAATACAATTAAATTAGAATTAATTTAAAATGAATTAAAATTGTCACAAACACCTGTAACAGGTGATAAGCCCCATCTGTTAAACAGATAGTGGGGATGTATCAATCAAGAAATGATTCATAATCAACTAGAACTGCCTTAAATATGAATAGATTCATAAAAAAATCGATTTAATAATGATATGTCTAAGAAAAATGTTTGATAATTGGCTAAATTAATTTTTTGTTGGTTTAAACAATATTTGGTTCATAAGGCAAATTAAACTGAATAAATCTTCTGAACATAAAGAATAGTTTGTCACATGTACTATCACACCCCTATGAAATACTTGGTCCTATAGGGATAGTTCAGATGTTTGGAATTGTGGAAAGAAAACAAAAAATATCTTACCTGTTGTAGATTACGTCTTTATTACCTCAGAAGAAATTGAGTTTAATCATGAGCAAACTGGTTAAAAAAGCTGGACCAAGACCGAGGTTCTGCTYTATTAAAACTCCAATTGCAAACATTTTCTAGTGGTCCATGCACACTGCATTTTATAAAGGCTTATATGGCCATCAATACTGCACTGAAGTTATTTCAGTGCAAATATTACAAAACATTTCAGCCAGAAGTGTTATGAACTACAGTTACAGTGGTTTGCAAAAGTATTCATACCCCTTGAACTTTTCCATATTTTGTCACATTACAACCACAAACATAAATATATTTCACTGGAATTTAATGTGAAAGACCAACACAAAGTGGTATACAATTGTGAAGTGGAAGCAAAATTTTACATGAATCAAAACATTTTTTACAAATAAAAAACTGAAAAGTGCGACGTGCAAAAGTATTCAGCCCCCTTTTCCCTGAGTGCAACCAATTGCATTCAGAAGTTGCCTGATGACTGCTAATGACTCAAAAGGGTCCACCTGTGTGTAATCTAATCTCAGTACAAATACAGCTGCTCCGTGACGGCCTCAGATGTTGGTTAAGAGAATATTGGGGAGCAAACAGCATCATGAAGTCCAAAGAACACACCAGACAGGTTAGGAATATGGTTTTTGGAGAAGTTTAAAGCAGGCTTAGGTTATAAAAAGATTTCCCAAGCTTTGAACATCTCACRGAGCACTGTTCAATCCATCATCCGGAAATGGAAAGAGTATGGCACCACAGTAAACCTGCCAAGACAAGGCCGTCCACCTAAACTTACAGGCYGAACAAGGAGATCACTGATCAGAGAGGCAGCCAAGAGGCCCATGGTGACTCTGGATGAAATGCAGAGAGCCACAGCTCAGGTGGGGGAAACTGTCCACAGGACAACAATTAGTCGTGCACTACACAAATGTGGTCTTTATGGAAGAGTGGCAAGGAGAAAGCCATTGTTAAAAGAAAACCATAAGAAGTCCCGTTTGCAGTTTGCCAGAAGCCATGTTGAGGACACAGCAAACATGTGGAAGAAGGTGCTTTGGTCAGACGAGACCAAAATTGAACTTTTTGGCCACAATGCAAAACGCTATGTGTGGCGGAGAAAGAACACTGCACATCACTCTGAAAACACCATCCCCACTGTCAAATATGGTGGTGGCAGCATCATGCTCTGGGGGTGCTTCTCTTCAGCAGGGACCGGGAAGTTGGTCAAAGTTGATGGGAAGATGGATGGAGCCAAATACAGGGCAATCTTGGAAGAAAACCTGTTGGAGTCAGCAAAAGATTTGAGATTGGGGCGGAGGTTCACCTTCCAGCAGGACAACGACCCTAAACATAAAGCCAAAGCTACAATGGAGTGGTTTAAAAAAAAGAATATTCATGTGTTAGAATGGCCCAGTCAAAGTCCAGACCTAAACCCAATTGAGAATTTGTGGCAAGATCTCAAAACTGCTGTTCACAAACGCTCTCCATCCAATCTGACTGAGCTTGAGCTGTTTTGCAAGGAGGAATGGGCAAGAATTGCAGTCACTAGATGTGCAAAGCTGGTGGAGACATACCCTAAAAGACTTGCAGCTGTAATTGCAGCAAAAGGTGGCTCCACAAAGTATTGACTCAGGGGGGCTGAATAATTTTGCACATCGCACTTTTCAGTTTTTTATTTGTAAAAAATGTTTTGATTCATGTAAAATTTTGCTTCCACTTCACAATTGTATACCACTTTGTGTTGGTCTTTCACATTAAATTCCAGTGAAATATATTTATGTTTGTGGTTGTAATGTGACAAAATATAGAAAAGTTCAAGGGGTATGAATACTTTTGCAAACCACTGTATGCTGATGTAATGAATTCTTCAAACAGAGGTTGTTCAAAAATTAATCTACAGCAGGTAAGATTTTAATTGTTCATAGTTTTAACAGAATCACCCTTCAAAAGATCCAAACTATCCCTTTAAGTACAACCTTTATGAAAAAAAATGCTGCAAACTGAAATAATTTATTTTGAACTGTTTATCGTTTTGCTGCAGACTAGGCACAATATATTTTTGGATCTCTTTACTTAGTTCGACCCCTGGTTAAAAAACAAAATGAAGAGTAAAAAAAGGAAAGAAAAAAACTAAAGAAAAGACTGAAAAGGATAGAAGAGAAGCAGAGGGAAACATAACAAATGTAAATTAAGGCTAGGTGGTCAAGTGTCTAGATTTGACGTTGAGGTCTTCACAGCAACCATTACCTTTGCTTCTTACAGAGCTAGTCAGGGGTTCAAATCCCCTCTTCTTTATTTCCTCATGTGCCCCTAAATGTTCAAAGATAAAGATATCAAAGTGTAGCTGTGGTCCCCACAAAAGACCACAGGAAATACAGGGCAGCAAATTGATCTCCCTTTAAAACAATGGAGCAGTCTGCATCAAGTTTAAGGAAGAATATTCTATAAAGTCCACTGAAACAGGGTACCACATAAGCCAGACTATACAAGCAAGACTGAGGTTAACAAGGTTTTGGGAAGAACAAATTTAACTACCCAACAGCATGCATAACACACTACCCACTTATGTTTGCCTTCTAACTTTACTGTCATCATTTTCAGAAGTATCCAGGATATGCAACTTAGTCTGAAAGTAAAATTAAGGACATAACTCAGTCTGATGTTACGTTTCTGGGACCGTCCAATGCTGCGGTTATACTCACCTGGTCATAACCGTAAGGGCGCTGCTGCTGGCCCTGCGGGGGTCCAGGCTGAGGAGGACGATAGCCCCCATACTGCTGCCCCTGCCCCTGTGGATAGTTAGGATACTGTCCTGGGGCACTCTGAGAGGGACCTAAAAAAGAATGAGAACCAAGTTTAAATAAAAAATGCTGCACACTCTTAATAAATACTAGTACGGTAATTCTGTTTTCAACACAACCACAATGAACATTATGCTCATTAACCACATCCGTTTTGAATTCTGAGAACTACTAACTTGGTTAATTTACAATCACTAGTCAACTGCAATAAAAAAAAAGCTGATGGATGACAAAGAACGGAGGAGTAGATGCATCAGATGTGTTTCCACAATGCCAGACTAAGATGTGATGAAACCAGGCAGGAGAACCCAAATGCAAGGAAGCATCAAGGAGATTCAGTTGGTCTTCATTAGMTAAGTAAGCTTCATTGCAAAGAAACAGGAAATGAATCCTCTCGCCTGTACACTGAAACTATCTTTGCAGCTGCTGTGAAGGACTGAGGGTTGGAGTCAAACGAGGCCCACGCAGCATCGTTAGGCACTCATAATGCCTTATGCTGTTGTGCATAACCTTGTGGGGGCCTTAGAGAACGGGCGTGCGTATGTGCCAAATGGATCTCACCTCATAGCCTCTGCCTTTCCACTAGCTCATTACCAACATGAGCTCTGGCTCAGATAGCGGGCGAGTGGACAGTTCCGACGAAAAATGATAAGAAAAACGATCCAAGAGCTAAAGTTACATTTTAAACATTTTTAGACCTTCTATGATGTATTTCCTTCTCTTGACAAGCTCAACAATTGAGATGGAGTCAACCTATAACACAGGCACAGGACAGAGTAGAGTTTATTCTACTAAAAATATTTAGGGTTAACGGTGTTAAGTCATTATGATTAAGATTACTCTTCAGCCAACTACACATTAATAGAGCTGCAAAGTAAACACTTGTACTTAAATACAATAAGGTAAAACTTGTAGGGAAAGATGATCACTAGATAACATGAAACAGGGAGGTTGTAATAATGGTTAAAATATATTTAAAGAAAGATTGTAAATAAAACCAAGTTTTGATTAAATATGATTTTTGTGAGGTGGACAAAGAAGACATTCCTCAAAGCCTTTGACTTCTAACATTAAGTATTCCTTTCTTTTTTCTGCTCCAACCACCATCATTTCTCTACAGTGAAGTCATAAATTTACAGTTCAAAAAGTTAGCTAAGAGCAAGGAGGTTCTATAGAACAGCTGGAGTGCGCAAAAACCACGTGACCGTGTGATCGGCTGGAGAAGCTAACGGCTAACGCTAAACGGGCAAGACTCTGGAGTTCCCATTGCTGTACATGTTGATAACAGAGCAGAAAAAAAGGACTGACGATGTAGAAATGATTAAAACTATGAATATTATTAATCAAATTATAAAATTAAAATAATCTTATAAAGTCGATGTAATCCCTGTTATTTATTGAACTGGTTAGCAGATATTAGCTTGTGGAGCATATATACAGAGTTTAGCACTGTTGAATCATGCTACAATTTAACACAAACTATTAAATATTACTTTGTCCTCTGATTAATATTTACACTCACAGAGTGTAAAATAATATTATAAATGTCTCTGATTAATATTTAGACCTACAGAGTGTAAAATAATATTATAAATTTCTCTGATTAATATTTAGACCTACAGAGTGTAAAATAATATTATAAATGTGAGTATTTTTAGGTTTCTGTTAGAGAAACCTGACCTGTTAAGAAGATGTTAGCTAATAGAGACAAGTTTCATCCTGTAACCAGAGAACATTTTCTAWCYGTTGACTGDTAAATATAAATATHMTTATTTTTTATGACAGTAAGAAGAAATAATAAATATACTTTATTACTAGCTGAACTCATCATTTTCAACAAGCTAAAGTCTAAGTTACAGGCTGACTTCAGATCTGATTTAGATCGTTGTTACTTATAAATTATATATTTTTCTGGTATAAATCTGCTGTTTTATATGTTTGTTGAATGAAATTAACATTGTTATTAATTTATTGTAAAAACATGACCGATAATCTGTGCAACAGATCCAGTTCAGCTTGTTGTTTATCTGTTAGTTTCTATGGAGGCTGTGAGCTGTTGCCCTGTTAGGTCTCCGTTTCTGCTCCTCCAAGCTGTCATAGACGCTACCAGTGTACGGTGTGCGCAGGACTCAAGTCTAGTGATCTATATATTTAAGTCTATGTCTAAGAGAGCCAATAGTGCCTCCTACAGGTCAAAATGTTTTCCTGTTTAGAAAAAACATGACTCACCATAACCTTGTTGCTGTGGTGGGTAACCTTGTTGACCTGGGTATTGTTGCTGTGGTGGATAGCCCTGCTGCTGCGGTGGGCCTTGCTGGTATGGTTCCTGTTGTTGGCCATACTGTGCATTACCTTCAAAGAGTATCAGCAGGTATTGTGAACATGTTGAGGACTATTAGCAATGCAGAGACAGGTATCATGATTTTAAAAGTCTTACTATAAACTGTAAATGACAAAATAGGCTTATTGTAAACGAACTGAACAATTAAATTAAACATTGGTAAATGTACTCTAGATCTTACATAAAGTTTAGTCTAAGATAAGAAGCCCAACAGATTTTAAAACAGGCACATTTTAAGACGCTGTTTTTTTTTTATACCAAAACTGATAGTTTTGTTTAAACAGGAGGAAAAAAGATCTACAGTATGTTTGAAAGTTTATAGGTGGAAATGGGGGGTTAATAGAAGAAACAACAAAACCTCATGTTAAAAAGACAGAAAGAGTTGCGTCATCTAGCACACAAACTGAAACAATCTGCAGCATTTTCAGATAGAATGTTCGTATTTATCAAAGAAATAGTTGATAGTTTGTAGGTAATATGTCACTGGAACTGGATTATTTACTACATGTGGGTGGAGACACTGAAATGCTAATAGGACTTGAACATACAGATTGAAATGAAACATAAGTAAAAAGAGTTGTATCATATGCAGTTATACGCAAAAACTATATGACATATGCCACACATCTACAGTACATTTGTTACAATTAGGCCTGCTGGGTAGTTAAAATGTGGTTGTGGGGGCATGTAAAAAAGGTAAAACTGTGTCAACCTATCCTCCTCGTATGTAGATGTTTCTTTAAGGTTTGATGTATTATTTTGTCTTTTCTAGAATCTGAAATTCACCATGATTTCCCAGGAATAATGAACTAAAAAGTTTGGCTTTGTCAGTCTCTATGAATCATTCGTGTTTTAACACAACTCCTGGCTTGATTTGATTGCCCGCCTTCTCCAAGTGACTGGAGGGTTTCTCCTACCTTCTGAGGCGCCCTGTCCTGCGTGACTGTACTGGTCGCCATAGTAGTCTTCCTGCCCTGGGTACTGCTGGGGGGGTCCTACATACAACATACACACAAGTAGATTCAAGGTGTTGTTGGGTTGATTGTGAAAGGGGTGGGGGAAAGGGTATAGAGGATGGGTTTCCTGCTTCTAGTTCATTTTAGAGAGCGTTCTCTTGGTCACTTAACTCATTTTACAGAGGCTGGGGGGAGGGGCTTTAGGTTACACTAAGATGTCTGAACTATAGCAGATGAGATAGAGAAACTGAGAAGAACAAGAAAAGCAGRAGGAAGGACCAGAAGGGGAGGACCAATGCTGACAGCTTGCACACGTCAGACACACACTGAAGGGTATACCTTGCTGTGGGGGTCTGTAGGGTGGCATCGGTCTCTGTCCCATGACATGGTTCCCTTGGTTAACCTGGCCCATCATACCCATTGGGTTCTGTTGTCCTTGGTAGTGTTGTCCACCACCACCAGGGGGCATGTTATACTGCTGCGATGGAGGCTGCTGATGCATCATTGGGCCTGAAGAAGACAATGTACTAAATCTCAGTTGCTCCAAACAACTAAGGCACAGTAGAACTACGCATAAGAAAATAATAAAATAAAAAAACGCGTGCTCTGTCTTACCTTGATTTGGCTGCATGTTCATGTTTGGTCGAGGCGCATAGTTTCCCATTGGTTGGCCCTGGGTCATGTTCATTTGACTCTGAGCTGGTATGCCTTGGGAAGAAGGAACCGCGTGATTGTAACCACCCATGGAGCCGTGGCTGCTGGGGGGCATATTCATTGACCCACTGGGCATATTTGGAGGCTGGTTAGGGCCTGGACCAGGACCTTGCATGGGCATGTGATTAGGACCTGGAAAACAGCAGCAAAGATGACTGATGTTAAAAAAGCAAACAAAAAGAAAAGAAAAAAGAAAGACTGATTGTGTGAATGCTTCATAGCATTCACACTAATGAGATAATTTTTTCTTCTATACGTTTTTCAGCATCTTAACTAGTTCCAAAATTTTTGTGCTATTTCAACAATTCATATATCAAAACGTTCARCTCATTCATGTGAGGGGTGCTATGACTTTTCGTATTTCAGCTATTTATACTTTTTTAGCTATTTCACTTTTTTTAGCCACTTTTTTGCCATTGCAAATGAATGGAGCTGTTTTCAACATCCTTAAAATAATTTAAAAGGCTTTTAAATCTTTACAGCACCTTACACATTTTGTTCTGGTTATGCTCCTTTTCACTTTCTTGTGCTAATTTTAGCTACTTTTCTTTGCTAGTTTTAGCTTTTATCTGCTATTTCAGCTAAAATTCTGCTTCTTTCTGCTTTTCTTTGATTTTTCTACTTTTTTCTGTTTTTCCTACTACTTTGTGCTATTTATGCTTCTTACAGATGCTTTCTGCTATATTCAACTATTTGTTGATATTTTAGCTAATGTTTAGCTGCTATTAGCTAAGGTTGGATTTTCTAAGCTAAATACACGTTTTTTGTAGCTATTACAACTTTTTTCAGCTAAGGTTAGCAAACTTGTGCTCCTTATGCTAATGAAATAATTTCCAGCTACTTTTTAGCTGTTTTAATGAAAATTTCAGCTGTTTTAGTTATTTTACAACAAATTATAATTTTATATAATTTTATACGGTTTTCTGCTTTTTTTTCTGTTTTAGTTATTTTTCAGCTATAACTATTTCAACTGGGTGCTAATTTCAAATTGTGGCTGCTACCTTTAGCTTATTTTATGCTCATTTCAGCTACATTGTGCTATTTTAGCTATTCTTCTGCCTTTTTTCTGCTTTTAATACTTTTTTACTGCTACCTAGTGCTATTTATGTTTCTTACAGATGTTTTCAGCTATAATCAGCTATTTTAGCTCTTAGCTGTTTTCAACTAGATTTGTGCTTCTTGTTACTCTTTTTCTGCAAAGTTAGGCTTTTCTGCTTCTTTCAGTTTTTCAAAGCGAGCTCACATTAACACTTTTCCTATTAAATATTTTCAGCTCAATTTCAGCAGCTTTCAGCTTACATTTTCAGCATGAAGCATTCACACTAGCATTTTCGCAGAAAATGCAATTTCTCTAGTTTGAGTTTATTCTGATTTTCTGTTATAATTAAAATCCTCTCTTCAGTAAACTGTTCACATAAAATGTGTATCATAGTTGGTCTGCTGCAAAATGTGAAGGGTGATTAATTAAATGGTGACTACAAATAGAGGTTCATTTGTATTTTAGTTATTTTGTTGAAACTCTTAAAGCCAACACCAACTGTAAATAGACACAACTTGTGGTAACCAAATATTTCAATTTCATCAATGTAAATAAATGAAATCAGTCAGCTGGTAAGTCTTACTACATACAAGATGGTCTCTGTCCTTAAGACATTAAACAATCCAAACTCAAAATTATGTAAGCCTGTAAGATCTAAATACTTTATTTTCATGGTGTATTAAAATAATTACTAGCACAGTGACCAATACATTTTTCATCTTCAATAAACTTTTGTGAAGCACTGTGGATAGATCTATTAAAACAAAGTGTTTTGCCTTTAAAAAAACAGACCAATTAAAAAAGTGAAAATAATCTTAACATAATATAATTATAAGATATGATGCATCAGTGATATACAACTAAATCCAAACAAGAAAATAGGAGCCAAGTTGAAAACCATTTCTGCAAACAAAATGGGTGACATCATCCTTTAGCAAATAAACGACCTCCCTCACCGTTCGGTGGTGTTGCTAGGCAACTCCAGTGMGACAGAAACGGAGGAGGAAGGAGAACGAGAGAAAGAGAGAAAAACAAGGATGTGGGGGTGAGTTCAGACGATGACTTACCAGGCATCTGTCCATTCATTTGATTTTGCATATGAGGGGCTGGAGGACCACCGCTGACCATACCCTCAGAGGGCATGTTGTGACTGTGAGGGGGCTGAGGAGAAGGTCCACTTTGGTTCATGCCACCAGGACCCATGGGCATGTTCTGAGTGGGTGGCTGTAGGCGCAGACACAAAAATACACATCAGCTCCCTAACAAGCACATCTGAGCCAGAGACACTCAAGAGAAAAAAATTAGAGCTGGTAAAAGCTATTTTACAGATTGAATAATTGATTAGTTTATCAATCAAGGATGACATAAAACAAAATAGAAAACAAGAATACCTTGAAGTAGATTCTTATACAAGATAACGGACAATTGATGAGAAAAAAAAAGAAACAGGAAATAAGAAACTTGGGTTCAAATTACAAGTAGAAACACCGCAGTACTTAAAGTTAAACAAAGTGCTGCAATGTCCTTAACATTTTTACTGTGTACAAAGTAACTTTTGTCAGAGTTAATAAGTTATATTAGTTTTTTTTTTTTGGGTTGCATTGTCATTATAAAATATATAACTAGAAACAAACATTTAAACACCACATGTCAGACGGTCTATCTTGATTTATTCATTATAGTTTGATGTTAATTAAATAAGAAAATGTCAGTTTTCTGTGACTGATGGAGAGCCATGCTGTCACACTAACCTTTTAGTCAACTTAAGTTAACTTACAAAAATTGTAAAGACATCTATGTTGAAGACAGAACAACAAAAACAACAACGATAATAAAAACTAGAAGCATATTTTAGGCTTGTACATATTGCAATGCCAACTAGTTGTTTAAGTATATAATTTTATTAGTAATTTAGACAGAAAATGTCATAAGTTGTCTAAAACGTTACAGCGTGAGAGGACCTTCATCTCTGACAGATTAACTTAAGTATGTTAATTTATTACAGTTACACAATTATTAGTTACAATTTACCCGATCAAAACAATCTGTTTGGACCAATACTCACAGCAGGGAGGAGAGACTGCATGTTCTGATTGGAGTCTGCTATTGTGGCCAAATACACTAAATTTCTGTGCAGCATCTGTTGATACCTGGGCAGATGAAGAATAATGAATAACTCGTATATATTTACAATGAAAAAGGGGGGGACTTCTAACTTACTGTGAACACTCTGCTGTTTTGCCTTTACTCTGGAAGTCCATTATACACTGGATCAGCTGGTTGTTTTCATCAAGTAACTACAAAAGCAAATGCAGACATTTACGTCACCTTCGAGATACTTCTCGTAATATCTAAAACAGATACTAAAAATAGCGACATAATTTCGTTTGATGGGATTTGTTTTGTGCTCTATAAATGCTGTTTTGTTATAATTTGAAAACAAAGGGGAGACATTTTTTTGTGTAATGTGAACGTGCGTTTCTAGCTAACAAAAGACACGTCTTATGCTAGCTGTCCTCTGCTAACAAAACCGAAGGCCTCCATTCATCTAAACACACAAATGCAGGTTATGCGACGAATCGATATAAGACTCGTCGAGTACACATGGTTTCAGCGAGGTTCGTATTCACCGCGCTTTGACCGCATAACAATGTCTCCGATCTGCCCACAGTCGGACCTGGACGGGCACGGCTAACACTGACATGAATCTCAACAGCTAGCAAGCGCTCTGTGCTGCAGCCTCCATAATGCGCCGCGCTAAAAAAAAAAAAAAAGAAATAAATAATAATGAATTACCTTTTGTATTCCAGCGGGTGTTATATCACCCTTCCGTTGCCTGTGAGGTGCAAACGCCACCGACATGGTGATAAAATTACAAACGAAAGTAAACTAAAGCATAAAAGTCAAAAGTAGCTAACACACAAGCAAAATTCAGAGGAACCGTAATCACACACAGAGCTCTGAATGCTCGATTTCATAATGCAGTGGTCCGTTTGGGGGGGGAGGGAATGTAGTCACAGGTTTATAGAAACATCGCTGTTGTTTTGTTTATTTAGATTTATTTTAATAGTCAGTGTTGGTTTTGACTGCAAATATTTGAAAATGTGTAAAATATTTCATTTTATCTCGAAAACCACATTACTGCCACGTAAATAAATAACATTCCCCCCTATTTTTCGCAAAGTGGTACAGCCCCCATCTAAACAGTGATCACGTGCTACACGGTAAAAAGGAGGAAATTATTGAAACTTTCGAATAATAATAATAATAATAATAATAATAATAATAATAATAATAATAATAATAATAGCTATGGCCATCTACAGGCAGTAGTAATTTCAGCGGGTGATCTTTTTTTGCTATAAAATTTGAATGAGTAATCACATGCGTTTAATTGATTAAAAATATTGAAATTTGAAATATCAATACGTGATACTATATATTTTAGTGTATATTATTCACAATAAAAATAATTGCGAATTAGTGCGTTTACAACTTTCTGTCTGTGTTTGTTACCGTACCAGGTCATAGGTTACGCGCATGCGCTGTTGACCGAGTTAGATGTGAATAGCTTGTTGCTAACTAGCTGAATCATTTCGGGGAGGTAGCTTCGTTTCTCATATTTCGTCGTTTCGGGTTTGTCTTGCAGTACAATGGCAGCGAGATACGACAGAGCAATCACGGTCTTTTCTCCTGATGGTCATCTATTTCAAGTGGAGTACGCACAGGAAGCTGTAAAAAAAGGTTCAACAGCGGTACGTCTTAATGGAAACAATGCTAACGAGCTAACGTGGCCAACTAGCCAACAGCAGACACACAATACTTAGGTTAATTGGTTTATTTAACATCGTCTGTAATATATGTGTGCTARACTTTTTATTTGCTTTCACGATGTTTTTAGGCAGCAGATTCATTGACGAAACAGCGAATACAAAGTGTATAAGCCAGGACGTAAAGCGGTTAACACTAGCATTTTGTCGCTGTGTCACTCTTACCTTACTTTCAGTTTTGATCATTCTGTTCATGTTAGGAAGCAAAAGTTCGTAAAAGCACTGACTGATGATCACAATATTGTCTGATACATTTGTAGAAATGGAGGTCTTGACTAATTTAAAGGGGAGCAGTTAAGAAAGGTGATTGCTTTATAGTTTCTACTTTTAATATCTCAATAGTAAAACTTAATGGCTTGTATAGGATTTCAAACTTCAATCCTAGCCATGGACAAAACCTTTTTATAGAGTTCTGTTGGGGTTCTTTTATTGCTCTATATTTAATCTAAGGAAGGCATTTTCTCTTTTTTAAGAATTAAATGCGGAAAATTAAAGAGACCAGATCTCTTGACTAACAACTTGAGGATGCACAGACTGATATTTGGTATAAGTTATGACTATACTTTAAAAAAAACTATTATAATTCAGTGTATTTAAATAAGTTATGGTGTGTGTTAAGTGAACCCTTTTTCTGCCAACTTGTGGGAATGTAAAATGAAGTAATGCTCTTTGTTCTCTCTCGCGCTCTTCGTGCAGGTGGGGATCAGAGGTAAAGACATTGTTGTCCTTGGCGTGGAGAAGAAATCGGTGGCAAAGTTGCAAGAGGAAAGAACTGTTCGCAAGATCTGTGCACTGGATGAACATGTCTGCATGGCATTTGCGGGTAGCTTTTAAAAAAAAATAAACTAATTCACCCAAAGTTTACCAAAACACAGATCTGCTGCACATTGTTACTAAATATAAATGCTTGCTAGTAAAGCGTGTCATTTTTTAATCATTGCTTTAAGGTCTGACAGCAGATGCCCGTATTGTGATAAACAGAGCACGGGTTGAGTGCCAGAGCCACAGGCTAACAGTTGAGGACCCTGTCACAGTGGAATACATCACACGGTACATAGCAACGCTGAAACAGGTGTGTTAGCCTTTCACTATTGACCTATAGTTTTAATTGTAGCTTGTTAAAAAATAATCCATTCAGTRTAATTATCAGTGTGTTATGCTTCCTGTTTGCTTTAAATGTTTATGACACTTTTTTAAATAAGTTGATGAACTTTTGTTTTGTTATCGCAGCGCTATACTCAAAGCAATGGCCGCAGACCGTTTGGAATCTCAGCCCTAATCGTTGGTTTTGACTAYGATGGAACTCCCAGGTTGTATCAGACCGACCCATCAGGAACCTACCACGCATGGAAGGTCAGCAAAGTTATTCTGCATACATCCCACTGTTGTTTAGTTTCAATTAGTTAACAAGTATAACAATCTAATGATTATCGATGTTTTAATTTTCTCTGTTTGTCGGTACAATAATAGGCAAATGCGATTGGCCGTAGTGCAAAAACTGTGAGGGAGTTCTTGGAGAAGAATTACACAGAGGAAGCCATTGCTGGGGACAATGAGGCAATCAAGTTGGCAATTAAGGCATTGCTTGAGGTACATAAAGCAATTTGCTAATTTTCTTTCATTTATGATCAAACAGAAATTATTTGGTGAACAAATGTGTTAATGACTTTGTAATTGGCCACAGGTTGTCCAGTCTGGAGGAAAAAATATTGAACTTGCTGTGATCAGACGAAATCAGCCACTCAAAGTAAGAAATGCTATAATTTTAAATTATTAGTTTTTTTTTTTTATTTGAAAACTATTGCTAACTGCTGTGTTGTTTGTGGCTTTTACAGATTTTGGAATCCAAGGAGATTGAGACTCTGGTGGCTGAGATTGAGAAGGAAAAAGAAGAAGAGGCAGAGAAGAAGAAGCAGAAAAAATCCTCTTGAAGCTGTTGATATGATCTTTATTGCACTAAGATTGCAATAGGTTTTTTTTTTTGGATTCTAAATATTAATTTCAGAGGATTTACTTGGTTATCTCTTTGTGAAGGCCTGAATCCTAACTTGAGAGCAGCTCATGTCGCATAAATGTTTTCACATGTTGCTTTACAAAGTGAAAAGAATAGCAGGTTAACTCAATTTGGACACGTTCACTAATTCAAAATCAATGACTATGTTAATCCAAACCTTATATTAATGCTGTAGGCACAAAGTTGTGCTGCTCTAAAGTTAGGATTTACATCTTTTTCCACGCCTACAATAAGTTTTTTTTATTATTTACCAAAAGGCTCAGAAACTTTTASAATTTCAAATGTTGAAATAAATTCTTTGCAACATGAGCATACGGAAACTAAATAATCAATAAAAGTGGATTTTTCTTTGTACGTTTTCTACAAAGTCTTTGCCCGTAGCTGCACGCCAAATGGCTTTAGTAGCTATATCAACATAAAAGCCCATAAAATGATCAGCAAGCCTTGTAACACAAAACTAAGGTTGGAAGGACTTTTCGAAACAGAAGAATACCCTAACTCACAGTATTGATTATTCCACTGCAGAGCAAGAAGTGTGATAAAAACACTACTAGCAGCAGTAGGGTGTTTGGCTATAAAGTGTAATGTTTTTCATTTATCAGCGTTCTGTCACACAGACCTGGAAATAGTGGGGGCTTGATTGCTTTATAAARTGCTCACCTTTCCCTCAGTCATTTAAAACAAATTAGTGGCGAGCAAATGAAGGGCCTAATGGTCACCTGACAAGACCTCCAAACCCCCTTCCATTTTTTCTTTTCTTTTTCCATTTTTTCTTTGCCTCTGCCTTTTTTTTTTTATTTCTCACTAAATTCGCTTATCAAGCAACCGCTGCTCTGAATTCTCAACGACACAATTATGGCCGGCGGTGCGGTTGGGCTGCTTAATGGGATCCTGGCCTCAGACCCCAGTGGGAACTTTCAGTGACTTTAATCTGGAGCCCTTTGAAAAGTTGTGCTGTGCTGTGCTGAGAAGCCCCGGGGGGCTCCCTCTGACTCTTACCAAAGACATAATGGTGAATGCTAAAGTCCTTCATTTAGACTCATCTTCCTACAGCCAGGGTTTCCTGAGTGGGCGCCTTGAAAAGAGGGACTGCACTTTGTCTTTACTGGAAGACGTTACAGGTTTTTGTTTGAGCTAGCTTCTGTTTGCAATAATTAGAATGCTTATAAATGCGTTCGTAGACTTCAGTTTTGGCCAATGGAGCTGTACACTTAATTGTTTTTGGTAGTTGCAGTTATACAAGTTTGCAGGAGACTAAACTGGAAAAGGAGCAAAATTGCTTACAAAGTTGCAAATATCGATCTCTAACTCGTGTCCTCTTACAGAAGCTGATCTATATTGTCAAGAAAGAAAAGGCAAGCAGGCCTACAGCTTTTTTTTAAATATCACTGCTGAGACTTCTAGTCATTTGAACTGCTTGTGGGAAGAATTTTCTTTCTTCCATTTATATATATATATATATATATATATTTTCTGACATTGTTGTTGGCCACAATCAACGCGCTCCTGCGCCTCGGGACACAGTCCATCTCTCTCATCTCTGGCTGCTGCTCATCATTAATGCAGAAAATAATGGCTTCACCAGAGGTCATTGAGAGAGGAACAAGGCCCGAGGACGTGCGCTCTCCAAGCAAGAATGCACACTGCTGCGAGCCGTCAACAGTGAGCACTCCTTCTGTGCACATGTAGACACACACCGTACGGGCCAGTCACGCACATTAAGAAACGCAGCATCAATACAAGCACACAAGATTAAAACACAATTTTCATGTAGCTTTGTCACTTCATCAGTCACGCAATATTGGATAAAGTGTTTGTGCTGAATCAAAGCTCCACATTTAGATTTAAATTTGACTTTTTGTTTGCATCTGACAACACTTTGAACTCTTTTGATATCTATTGTAGTCCTCTTGATGATTTCCAAGTCACAACCAGATTTTACTTTGAGGACAATTTTTTGTGTGTCGTTCTAATGTGCCACCCTGCAGCCATGTTTCAAAGTCTGCCTCTTCTACAATGTTCCTGTGCAAAAAAAAAAAATGTCTTGAGGTCCATAAAAGGAAAAGACCGCGGAGGCACAAATATTCTGGTAACCCTCTGATATTAGCCAACTTTTACAAAACCAAACCAAAAAATATTCAGCTCTATTTTTTAATGAGTAAACATCAATGAGTTCATTAAGTTTGATACAAAACTACTTTATTTAACAGATCAAGGTGCTGGTTGTGTAATCCTTGCAATACCAACAATATAAAAATAAATTTTGATGTTTGAATTAAAGGGGGGCTGTTTTGCAACATTGACATTTTTGATCTTTAAATCATGTTATAACGTCATTACCTCATCAAAAACTTACCCAGAGTGTTGCTTTGACTCATTCGTGCATGTGTGAGAAAACCTTGAATCTCCTGGTAGCCATGTTGAGCCTCCTGAGTGCTTCTTAGTACAAAGCACCGCCTACTGACACAAAACTCCTCCCTGGAGCTCATTCTGCAGCAACGTTCCCACTCCACAGAGCATCCCTCCCACGAATCATTGTTGTGAAAATGGGCTGAAGTGGGAGTGTCAGAAACAGTAGGAGGTTCTTAAAGAGACAGGTGCCAATTTCAAGGTGTTTAGGGGGTTCTCAAGCCATTTGGGTCTGGGGACCCCTTACAAGGACAAAAAAAAAAAAAAATCCAGGGGCCTCCTCATAAACCCCATGCTGTTTTAAAAGATAATTTATTGTCATTTTCAACCCCTAAATGCCATAGGAATATATATTTTTATTAAGTTTATTATGTTTGTTTTATTGGTTCATTGTTTTCCATGCATTTTTAAAAATAAAAACCAAAATAACATTTTAGTAAAAAATTTTTTGAGGACCTCTAAGATACCTCTCGTGGACCCCTGGAGGTCCATGGACCCCAGTTTGAGAACCTCTGGTTTAGATAGTCCTTGATGCAAAGTCTAAATTAATTTTGATATATACAGCATTTTCATAACTTGAACTATGTGCCTGCAAAATAAAAATACTGTCTATTTRTAAGGAACAACGATGGAATAACAAACAGAAAAACTGCACTTCTTACTTTTTTGTCACTCTAGATTTTATGACAGCTTGAATCGTCTGAGGCATAAAATCCACTATTCAAAAACAAATAAGGTTTACAAATAAATCATTTTTTTAAATTTTCCAAAGTAACATTCAGATGGATTGATAGTCTTTTGATTGATAGAATTTTCCTTCTTCTTTTATCCTTCGTTTTATTTAGCAGATTGAGAAGTGTTCAAAATTTCCATTGTGCTATAATATGATGTAAACAACTTGTGTCTACCGGCAAAGCTGCAGTAAYATCCTTCACGTTGAAAAGAAACTGCTGATCAAGTAAAACATTGCTTTTACAGTTAAAACATCAAGGATAATAACTGGTGCACATGTAGATTTGCTGCAGAAGTATGCCTGCCATCCCCTTTAAATATAATCTCAGGATGTTTTCTTCAGTCAGTCACATTTTTATACTTTTTAGACCTACACATACATATTAATAATTTATCTTCAAATATTACTTATTCAAAGTCCACAGTTGCGTCACAACTTACCTCACGTATTTTCCTTCTATTTGTTTTCTATATGTTACACATTTCAATTTGACCAAACTCATCATGACAGGAGTTGTTTATGCACTCTAAAAAAATGAAGTGTTGAATTTACTTGACCAAGTTACTGGAACCACTGAGCCTAGTTGTGTGAAAATCAATTTACTAAACTCACTTCAGTGGAACCAGTTTGGTTAAGTAAATCCAGCACTTTATTTCTTACTTTTACTTTTACCTTCCCGATTATTGTGAGCAGTTTTATGACTTTTACTTTTTATATCAGTGGATTTTATTTTTACCAAAGTCATTTTCCGTTAAGGTAATTTTACTTTTACTTAGTTATTTGGAATAAGCGTGTACAGAAAATGGATGGATGGATGCAATGACCTCTGCACGCTACCTCAGCTGCTTCTGTGGATCACCTTCTGATCCAGCAGAGTGCAGTGTTGCATAAAAGCAGCTGCCATCATCTCATTTCTGGTGTCTCTCRCTTCTTGTCCTGCAGATTGACAGTATGACTCCTCTAGCAAACAGTGAGCAGAAAGCAGCGACCACACTGACACGCTTTTGACTCTGCACTTCAACTCGCAGCCACAAAGGCTCTCCGAACAATCAAATCCATCGAAGGGGAGAGAGAGAGCTGTTTTTCGGCTCAAAAATCGTCAGATGAAAAAGCTACATTGCTCGTACCCCCGAGCCACGGCCAAGTTGTCAAAGTGTGTTGGGTCATAAAAGGCTACGCTCTCAACACTGTCCCTTTTCTGCTTGTCACATGTCGACAGTCGCACACAAACACTATTTGTGTGTTGCAAATTGGCCTGCCTCCACTTTATGCCCTTTGGGGCCCTGCATCAATACAAAGG